CACAGGGCACAGGGCACAGGGCACAGGGCCACAGGGCACAGGGCACAGGGCACAGGGCACAGGGCACAGGGCACGGGCACAGGGCACAGGGCACAGGGCACAGGGCACAGGGCACAGGGCACAGGGCACAGGGCACAGGGCACAGGGCACAGGGCACAGGGCACAGGGCACAGGGCACAGGGCACAGGGCACAGGGCACAGGGCACAGGGCACAGGGCAGGGCAGGGCAGGCAGTAGACAGGCAGGAGCAGGCAGGCACGCAGAGCAGGCAGACAGGAGGTGGAGGCAGGCAGGCAGGCAAGGAGCACGAGCCAGCACAAACACTTGAATGCACTGATCAACTGCACAAGGCTTGCTGCAAAAGCACACACACACATTGCATAACTGAGCACACACAGATACACATTACTGCAATTGCTTTCTTCACACAAGTTTGGCTTGAAGACCCATTTGTACAAAGCTCTCTGCACATACAAGACCTACTCCCACTCGTCACGCACTTCCCTTTAGGCCCAATTTCCCGCCCCCCCCCCCCCGTCCTTCCCATTTCCATCTTTTGCACGAATCTTGCATAACTTTGCACCTCTTGACACCAGAATTCTGACAGCTTAAGAAACCATGTTTAGATCTGGTGAGATACCTTCCTGTAAATTCCGCCGCTCTTGTACTCTGTTCCGGGCCAAACCGCTCTAACAGCAAGAAGTAGTGTTGACTGTTCTTTTTCAGAAGCAACGGAAAGCAGTCAACCAGCAGTGCAGGAACCAGGATATTGAAAAGTGGCTCCCTGCTTAAAGAGCAAAAAAGAAAATGGGCGAGGCAAGTGCGAGCCCATGTCGTGCATGACAAGGTTCTGGAGTTAAGCACCGTGCACAAAATCCGAACCGTCACCCACACCTCTCGATACCATAATTCTGCACAGCTCGAGAAACCATGTTCAGATCTGATGGAGATACCTTCCTGTAAATTCCGCCGCTCTTGTACTCTGTTCCGGGCCAAACCGCTCTGACAGCAAGAAGTGGTGTTCGGACTGTCAGCACGGAGAGAGCAGTCTACCAACAGCAAGTGCAACCAGCAGTGCAGGGACCAGGATATTGAAAAGTGGCTCCCTGCTTAAAGAGCAAAAAAGAAAATGGGCGAGGCAAGTGCGAGCCCATGTCGTGCATGACAAGGTCCTGGAGTTAAGCACCGTGCACAAAATCCGAACCGCCACCCACACCTCTCGATACCATAATTCTGCACAGCTCGAGAAACCATGTTCAGATCTGATGGAGATACCTTCCTGTAAATTCCGCCGCTCTTGTACGATCCCACTCTGGCCATCGTCATTTCCGGGACACTCCTCAGCCCTCCCAGTGCAAAATTCCACATTTTGCAACTGGCCTTTGGCATTCTGACCCGAATATCAATCAATTGTTGCATTTTTGTAACTGCTGTTTTCTGAAGCTTAGAATCGGAACTAAATCCTGCAGCTTCGAACTCTTTCAAACATCGTTGTTTTTTTTTCCACGGCTCTCTTCTGAGAGCTCCATTTTGGGGGCTCGCCCCACAATCCTTCCCCATCCTGGGGGCTTTGAGTTACACATAAGCTGAGTCACTCAAGCAAGTCGCACTGCACACACACACACACACCTCCAAGTCGTACTGCACACAAGCTGATCCAAGGTAGCACCAAGTCACACTGCATACAATAAGCTACTTCGCAGTCCTACCAAGTCACACACAAGCTTCAAGGTCGCACCAACTCGCACTGCACATCAGCTACTTCAAAGCTGTACCAACAAGTCACACACAAGCTTGAAGATCGCACCAAGTTATTTTGCAAATAAGCTTCTCACCTTGGGCCCAAGTGTGAGCCCGGGCCCCCACTTGTGGTCCACTGCACAGACCCTCAAGCTGCACTGCACACAGTCTGGTTTTCGGGCTTAGACCCTAAACCCGAAAACTCTTGCACAAGCATTACCACTCCTCTTCTTTACATGTACACTTTCCAGCCGCACGGACCCCGGTTCGCCAATTCGCACATGCACATGCACACACAAGCACGCCAATCATCTCGTCGTCGTCGTCGCTGCCGTCGCTTCGCAGCCAACTCAAGGCACTTGGTCGTCGTCGTCAGCACAGGGAAGACCTAAGGCTGGTTCAAGGCATTCGCTGGCACAAACACTGCTTACCCAAGTCGCACATACACACACTGCAAGGCTTGCTCAGAACACAAGGTGGCAGGCAGGGGCAAAGAGGGGGGCAGGGGCAGGGGCAGGGGCAGGGGCAGCAGGGGCAGGGGCAGCAGGGGCAGGGGGCAGGAGGAGAGGGCAGGGGCAGGCAGGGGCAGGGGCAGGGCAGGGGCAGGGGCAGGGGCAGGGGAGGGGCAGAGGCAGGGGCTCCTCGCTGGCCCCAGACAGGCAACTGGAGGTCCAAATCTTCAATTTACTTAAACCTCCTCGGCTGGCCCAGAAAGGCAATTGGAGGCCCAAATCTTCAACTATTGCCCAAACCTCGTCTGTCGTAGAAGCGAATGGACACAAGAGCAAGAGCATGCACAAGGGCCAAAGCCATCATTTCGGTGGCACTACTTTCCTTTCGCACTCACACGGACCCCCTCCTCTGGTGCCCAGGCCCTTCCTCTACTCTGGGGCCCAGGGCCCTTCAATTTACTTAAACCTCCCCTCTGGGGCCCGGACCTATCAATTTACTTAAACCTTGCTCTGTGGCCAAGACCTTTCAATTTACTTAAACCTCCTCGGCTGGCCCAGAAAGGCAATTGGAGGCCCAAATCTTCAACTATTGCCCAAACCTCGTCTGTCGTAGAAGCAAATGGACACAAGAGCAAGAGCATGCACAAGGGCCAAAGCCATCATTTCGGTGGCACTACTTTCCTTTCGCACTCACACGGACTCCAAGCACCAACAACTACATGCATTCACAGGCTGCACTGCTGCACTTGCACAGATACTATCTATTTGCACACAGAGGCCTTGCCTCCAGAGCACACACACACAAGGCTTCTGGCAATACTTGCTTCAATCTTGTCGGCTGCAGCTGCACAAGCAAAGGGACAGAAGAACGAGAGCATGCACAAGGGCACAAGCCATCATGTCGGCGGCACTGGTCACTACTTTCCTTTCGCACTCACACGGACCCCTCCAAGCACCAACAGCTACATTCATTCACAGGCTGCACACAATTTTCCACACAAAGGCAGCAGGAGCAGCAGCAGCAGCAGGAGGAGCAGAGAGGGCAGGAGCAGGAGCAGCAGGGGAGCAGGAGCAGCAGCAGGAGCAGCAGCAGGAGCAGCAGCAGGAGCAGCAGCAGGAGCAGGAGGGGAGCAGGAGCAGGAGCACCAGCAGCACGAACAGTTGAATTGCACTGATCAACTGCACACACAAGGCTTGCTGTAAAAGCACACACACACACACACACATTGCATGACTGAGCATAGACAGATACATTACATCACTGCAATAGCTTTCTGCACACAGAAGCCTTGCTCCAAGAGCCCACATATACAAGGCTCTGTGCACATACAGGCAGCACAGTTTACACCCACCCCTCACCCACTTCCCCCCTGAGCCCAATTTTCAACCCGACCACCCCCCCTCCTCCCCTTTCCTGTCACTTTTGCACGAATTTTTGCATAAAAACCAAAAAATTTCTCGCTTCGCGAACCCAGCAAAAACTTTCAATTTTCCACACACATACAATGGCTTTTGAGTCACGCACGAATACAACGGCCTCCGGCCGGCCGGAGGCCGGCTTTCTTTTTGTAAAAAAAGACAAGTAGCTAGGGCAATCCGACGAAAATCGTATTTTTTCGATTTTGATAGGAATGCTCAACATCCATTTTGCTCATTAGCAAAACCTATATGTTTCAATGCAAAAATTCAAGATTCTCACCATCCCTAATGGATCTCGAAAAAGTGCCAAAAATTGACTTTTTTGGGCCTCATCTTTTGGGCGGTTTTCGATAGGCAAGGCCCAAAATCTTCCGACCTCAATTGTTCCCTTAGCAAGCCCCTTACTTTTTCATACGAATTTGGCGCTTTTGGCTTTTTGCATGGAAATTCAGCTTTTGGGCACTGACACCCCTCCCCTTCAGACCCCATTTTTTTTGAGCCTCCAGACCCCTGTCTCGCCCCTTTCCTCCCACTCTGTCCATCGTCCTTTCCGGGACACCCCCCAGCCTTCCCTATTCAAAACCTGATATTTTGCAATTGGCTTTCGTCACTAAAAGCCGAATATCATTTTTGGTATTTCACCGTGTGCCACTTGAACAAGCACAAAATCGGCACGAAACCCTGGGGCTTCGGGCCCCTTGAAAAGTCATTGATTTCCTCCCACAGCTCTCTTATGTAAGCTTCATTTTGGGGCTCGCCCACAAGCCTCACCCCATCCTGGCTCCGGGGCTGAGGGCTTTGAATTGCACACAAGCTGAATCACACAAGTAAGTCGCACTGCACACCAAGCTACTTCAAACTCGCACTGCACACAAGCTTCAGATCCGACCCATTCGCACTGCACACCAAGCTACTTCAAACTCGCACTGCACACAAGCTTCAGTTCGCACCTGTTCGCACTGCACACTAAGCTACTTCAAACTCGCACTACACACAAGCTTCAGATCCGACCCATTCGCACTGCACACCAAGCTACTTCAAACTCGCACTGCACACAAGCTTCAGTTCGCACCTGTTCGCACTGCACACTAAGCTACTTCAAACTCGCACTACACACAAGCTTCAGATCCGACCCATTCGCACTGCACACCAAGCTACTTCAAACTCGCACTGCACACAAGCTTCAGTTCACACCTGTTCGCCCAAGTCACACACACACAAACTTCAAGATCGACCAAGTCACAGTGCAGACGAGCTGATTCAAAGTCCCACGGATCCATCCAGTCCGCACACGTGCTTCACGGCCTGGCAAACTGCTTGGGAACTTGGGAACAATCAAAATGCACGGAAGGAGGCATTCAGTCAGGCTTTTTGATGGCACGGAGGCTGTCAGTCTAGCTTGACTCTGAGGTGCCAGGCATCGCCACCGTCTGCACACCAGTCAGCCACGGCTTGAGACAAGCCTTCCCTTGTCGCAAACCCACTTGACTTGTAGCACTTCTTGGAGGTCGACAAACCCCATCCATTTCTGTAATATACCACATATTTCCTGGAGCCCTTGCATGTCTTGAGTGGAAGCTTGGTTAAGATTGCTTTCGCCTCATCTGTCAGCTGGTTCTCTTGCTGGATGTGGTCGTAGTTGGCGGCATTGGGCAGACCAATTGATTGTGACCCCTGTGGCCCAGCAGCAACTTCCTTTGCCGAAGGCTCCTCGGCAGGGTGTTGTGCGGCCACTTCATGCTCTTCCACTGCCACATCGTTCCCCTGCTGTGGCTTCAGTGATGTAAATATGTGTCTTTCATATCGGCCAGAAATATGTCCCAATGTGGACAAAAGCTTAAACCAGGAACGTCTTCGAGCTGCGAAGCCAGGGCCGTGGTCAGGAAAACTCTCAAACTCATCCCAAGCTTTCTCAATGGCCATCTTGTAGTCTTGGACTGAGATCTCCTTCCAAGAGCCCACCTATAAAGCAACTCAAACCTAGACTCAGGCTGCATACACTATCGCACGGCTCATTACGAAGGCCACACAGGGGAAGATCGCACAAGCATGGCCACTGCACACACACACACGGCTTGCTCGAGGCACTCATAACTACAGTAGCTAGCTACATACTTGCACCCAGGGTCCTTCATGTCGAAGACACCATGCAGCACCAAAGCTGTGAAGACTTTCAGCCTTCTCTCACAATGCCATGCCAACTGCTCGGGTGTGGCTTGCTGGCCAAGCTCAGAGCAAGTGGCCCTGGCTTCCACCCTAAGTCCTCCAAGCTGATCGTCCGGTGTGGCGAGAGTGCACCTAACAATTCGCCCTGCTGCAGACATTTGTTTATTGATTGTGGAGTGGCAATTGGGGAAGCTGCTGAAATGACACTGGCCTTTGAAGGTTCTGAAGGCTTTGTGCAGGCACTGGTAGGCAATCAAATATTTGCCCACATCATTCCCCCTAAGGGGGGCTTCCCTGCCAGATCTTCTGGCCTTGATCTCCAAAGTGCCATACCTGCCATTTGCTTCGGCCCAATAAACAGCTTATATCAAGTGAATTTACTTTGTAGTTTAAGGCTTCTTCTATACAATCCAAGATGCACCACAGGATAGCTGCCTTGTTGTAAATCCGGTAGAATCGGGTGGACCCTTGCTTTCAGAGGGCACATGGCTGGGTGGAAGGCAGGGATATTGGTAACACCACTTGTGTCGCCAATATTGAAACCAAGCAATAAAATCTTGGTTTTGTCACCCAGTCTGCAAGCAAGGTCAACACCAGTGTGCCAAGAGGTTAAGCCAGCTAAGACCCCGGCACGGACACCGTCCCCGATTGTGGCACAAGGCCACCGGGCCCCAAAGTGTCCCACGTACACTGTGTCTATGTTGCAGGCTTCCAAGGCAGCAAGAAACATTTTGCAGGGAATCTTGGTCATCCCCAGCATCAGTGACTCCCCAGCCACACATGGCACAGCAAGTTGCAACCCCTGCTTCACCAGTGCCTCGCAGATCTTCCTTTTGCCAGAGTACAAATTTCGGCAGCCAGGGGGAGCAGCACAAAAGACATCCACAGGATGTGCGGCCAAATGAATGAAACATCCCCTTTCAGGATAGATTTTTGGGACCGCACCCTCCTTGCTGATGTACAGCACATCATCCCCGACAGGCAATTCTCTGGGCAGAGTCTGTTTGAAGATCATATCCACGTCGACAGGCCCGGTGCCAAAGCTGTTGAAGTCGAGCTGCCAAGCTTGACCGTCGAGCTCCGGCTCTTCGGCAGCGGACTCGACTTCAACATCGAATTGCTCGTCCTCAGACGAGGATGCCCGAGGGCTTCTAGATCTGGATCTGGCTGTTGCAGAATCCATGGCTGTTGCAGAATCCATGATCACAAGATTACTTGCAAAGAGCTTGTTGTTTGAACAAAAAGCCGCTGCAGCTCTGCACATTTGACCCGTCGAGTCTAGGTGTTTCTCTGCACTGCAGCTTTGTGCCATGGTCTGCCTAGGCTTGTTGATAGCTCCCCGGCCTGCTTCATGCACATCTACCATTCTTGACACCTGAAGCAACAAGGCTCAAGGCACTCCAAACCAAGCTCAAGCAAAGTTGCACCAAGTCGCACACAAGCTTCAAGCTCGCACCACTTCGCACTGCACACAAAGCTACTTCAAAGTCGCACTGCACACAAGCTGCTTCCAAGTCGTACCTAGTCGCACACATGCTGTCTCAAGATCGCACCAAATCGCACTGCACCCATGCTTCAGAGTCGCACCAAGCCGCACACAAGCTTCAAGATCGCACCACGTCGTATGGCACACAGGCACCCGCCTCCCCTGAAGCCCATTTGTGAGCCCGACCCCACACCCCCTTGCCACCCCTTGTAGCGAAAATATAAAGGGAATAGCTTTTCTAAAAATGGCTTTTCTTTGGATTTTCCACTATCAAACCCCACACCCCGACCCCCACACTCGACTCCCACCCCCTTGCCACCACTTGTAGCCGAGACATGGATGGAATAGCTTTTCTAAAAATAGCTTTTCCTTGGGTTTTCCACTATTAAACCCCACACCCGAACCCCCACCCACTTGCCCATTTGTAGCCAAGACATGGATGGAATAGCTTTTCTAAAAATAGCTTTTCCTTGGGTTTCCCACTATTAAACCCCACACCCGACCCCCACCCCCTTGCCCATTTGTAGCCAAGACATGGATGGAATAGCTTTTCTAAAAATAGCTTTTCCTTGGGTTTTCCACTATTAAACCCCGGCACACCCGACCCCCACCCCCTTGACCACTTGTAGCCAAGACATGGATGGAATAGCTTTTCTAAAAATAGCTTTTCCTTGGGTTTTCCATTATTAAACCCCGGCACACCTGACACCCACACTCGACTCCCACCCCCTTGCCACCACGTGTAGCCGAGACATGGATGGAATAGCTTTTCTAAAAATAGCTTTTCCTTGGGTTTTCCACTATTAAACCCCACACCCGACCCCCACCCCCTTGCCCATTTGTAGCCAAGACATGGAATAGCTTTTCTAAAAATAGCTTTTCCTTGGGTTTTCCACTATTAAACCCCGGCACACCCAACCCCCACCCCCTTGCCCACTTGTAGCCAAGACATGGATGGAATAGCTTTTCTAAAACTAGCTTTTCCTTGGGTTTTCCATTGTTAAACCCCGGCACACCCAACCCCCACCCCTTTGCCGCCACCACTTGTAGCCGAGACATGGATGGAATAGCTTTTCTAAAAATAGCTTTTCCTTGAGTTTTCCATTATTAAACCCCACACCCGACCCCCCACCCACTTGCCCATTTGTAGCCAAGACATGGATGGAATAGCTTTTCTAAAAATAGCTTTTCCTTGGGTTTCCCATTATTAAACCCCACACCCGACCCCCACCCTTGCCCATTTGTAGCCAAGACATGGATGGAATAGCTTTTCTAAAAATAGCTTTTCCTTGGGTTTTCCACTATTAAACCCCACACCCGACCCCCACCCCGTTGCCCACTTGTAGCCAAGACATGGATGGAATAGCTTTTCTAAAAATAGCTTTTCCTTGGGTTTTCCATTATTAAACCCCGGCACACCCGACCCCCACCCCTTTGCCGCCACCACTTATAGCCGAGACATGGATGGAATAGCTTTTCTAAAAATAGCTTTTCCTTGAGTTTTCCACTATTAAACCCCACACCCGACCTCTGACTATGGCATATGGCCCTGGGTGCAAGGACCCGAAGGTTTATAGGGATCCCCTTGAATTTATAAGGATCCCACCATATTTATAGGGATGGGCACCCCTTACTAAGCTCTGACTATGGCATATGGCCCTGGGTGCAAGGACCCGCAGGTTTATAGGGATCCCCTTGAATTTATAGGGATCGGCACCCCTTACTAAGCTCGGATTTATAAAGTTCCCCTTAAGGATGGGAACCCTCGCACTTGCACACCGGGGACACACAGGGAAGCACATGCTGCAACACACAGGCCCTAGCACAGAGATACAAGTGCAAGCATTGGCTTCGGTGAAATCTGGCTCAAGGCACTGGCAAAAGGCATCAAGCTGCACACACACACACACATCTACATCACACATGGCTCGGTCGCACATGCACAAACTACCCTGCTTGCTTTGCTTACGGCAGATTACAGCACGTCGCCCTGAATGACAGGGCCCGAAACCCCTTTTTTCTGGTGCCCAGGCTCTTCAATTTACTCACAACCCTCCTCTGGTGCCCCAGACTGCACCATCTCACAGAACTCAAGCAAGTCGCACTGCACACACACACACACACACACACAGCTCCAAGTCGTACTGCACACAAGCTGATCCAAGGTAGCACCAAGTCACACTGCATACAATAAGCTACTTCGCAGTCCTACCAAGTCACACACAAGCTTCAAGGTCGCACCAACTCGCACTGCACATCAGTTACTTCAAAGCTGTACCAACAAGTCACACACAAGCTTGAAGATCGCACCAAGTTATTTTGCAAATAAGCTTCTCACCTTGGGCCCAAGTGTGAGCCCGGGCCCCCACTTGTGGTCCACTGCACAGACCCTCAAGCTGCACTGCACACAGTCTGGTTTTCGGGCTTAGACCCTAAACCCGAAAACTCTTGCACAAGCATTACCACTCCTCTTCTTTACATGTACACTTTCCAGCCGCACGGACCCCGGTTCGCCAATTCGCACATGCACATGCACACACAAGCACGCCAATCATCTCGTCGTCGTCGTCGCTGCCGTCGCTTCGCAGCCAACTCAAGGCACTTGGTCGTCGTCGTCAGCACAGGGAAGACCTAAGGCTGGTTCAAGGCATTCGCTGGCACAAACACTGCTTACCCAAGTCGCACATACACACACTGCAAGGCTTGCTCAGAACACAAGGTGGCAGGCAGGGGCAAAGGGGGGCAGGGGCAGGGGCAGGGGCAGGGGCAGCAGGGGCAGGGGCAGCAGGGGCAGGGGGCAGGAGGAGAGGGCAGGGGCAGGCAGGGGCAGGGGCAGGGCAGGGGCAGGGGCAGGGGCAGGGGAGGGGCAGAGGCAGGGGCTCCTCGCTGGCCCCAGACAGGCAACTGGAGGTCCAAATCTTCAATTTACTTAAACCTCCTCGGCTGGCCCAGAAAGGCAATTGGAGGCCCAAATCTTCAACTATTGCCCAAACCTCGTCTGTCGTAGAAGCGAATGGACACAAGAGCAAGAGCATGCACAAGGGCCAAAGCCATCATTTCGGTGGCACTACTTTCCTTTCGCTCTCACACGGACCCCCTCCTCTGGTGCCCAGGCCCTTCCTCTACTCTGGGGCCCAGGGCCCTTCAATTTACTTAAACCTCCCCTCTGGGGCCCAGGACCTATCAATTTACTTAAACCTTGCTGTGTGGCCAAGACCTTTCAATTTACTTAAACCTCCTCGGCTGGCCCAGAAAGGCAATTGGAGGCCCAAATCTTCAACTATTGCCCAAACCTCGTCTGTCGTAGAAGCAAATGGACACAAGAGCAAGAGCATGCACAAGGGCCAAAGCCATCATTCCGGTGGCACTACTTTCCTTTCGCACTCACACGGACTCCAAGCACCAACAACTACATGCATTCACAGGCTGCACTGCTGCACTTGCACAGATACTATCTATTTGCACACAGAGGCCTTGCCTCCAGAGCACACACACACAAGGCTTCTGGCAATACTTGCTTCAATCTTGTCGGCTGCAGCTGCACAAGCAAAGGGACAGAAGAACGAGAGCATGCACAAGGGCACAAGCCATCATGTCGGCGGCACTGGTCACTACTTTCCTTTCGCACTCACACGGACCCCTCCAAGCACCAACAGCTACATTCATTCACAGGCTGCACACAATTTTCCACACAAAGGCAGCAGGAGCAGCAGCAGCAGCAGGAGGAGCAGAGAGGGCAGGAGCAGGAGCAGCAGGGGAGCAGGAGCAGCAGCAGGAGCAGCAGCAGGAGCAGCAGCAGGAGCAGCAGCAGGAGCAGGAGGGGAGCAGGAGCAGGAGCACCAGCAGCACGAACAGTTGAATTGCACTGATCAACTGCACACACAAGGCTTGCTGTAAAAGCACACACACACACATTGCATGACTGAGCATAGACAGATACATTACATCACTGCAATAGCTTTCTGCACACAGAAGCCTTGCTCCAAGAGCCCACATATACAAGGCTCTGTGCACATACAGGCAGCACAGTTTACACCCACCCCTCACCCACTTCCCCCCTGAGCCCAATTTTCAACCCGACCACCCCCCCTCCTCCCCTTTCCTGTCACTTTTGCACGAATTTTTGCATAAAAACCAAAAAATTTCTCGCTTCGCGAACCCAGCAAAAACTTTCAATTTTCCACACACATACAATGGCTTTTGAGTCATGCACGAATACAACGGCCTCCGGCCGGCCTTCGGCCGGCCGGAGGCCGGCTTTCTTTTTATAAAAAAAGACAAGTAGCTAGGGCAATCCGACGAAAATCGTATTTTTTCGATTTTGATAGGAATGCTCAACATCCATTTTGCTCATTAGCAAAACCTATATGTTTCAATACAAAAATTCAAGATTCTCACCATCCCTAATGGATCTCGAAAAAGTGCCAAAAATTGACTTTTTTGCGCCTCATCTTTTGGGCGGTTTTCGATAGGCAAGGCCCAAAATCTTCCGACCTCAATTGTTCCCTTAGCAAGCCCCTTACTTTTTCATACGAATTTGGCGCTTTTGGCTTTTTGCATGGAAATTCAGCTTTTGGGCACTGACACCCCTCCCCTTCAGACCCCATTTTTTTTGAGCCTCCAGACCCCTGTCTCGCCCCTTTCCTCCCACTCTGTCCATCGTCCTTTCCGGGACACCCCCCAGCCTTCCCTATTCA